AAGTGTCTTGCACTCATGGGTTGCTAACTGGGGCGAATTTGTTGCGGAGCAGTAATAAGCATGCAACCACATTTCTTCTATTTTAATGGTGTTCAGTGGAAGATCTATGTCTCCCAATACCTACCTGATGCTTTCTGAGGTGCTATCTCTGTATGTTGGGAACATCTAAAGGCAGCTCTTGTGGGAGGCTGACTTCATTTGGGAAGCCTGTTACTACTCTGAAAAAGACTTTGAAAAAGTGTCGTTCTATTGCTTGTATAACTTTTGAATAGCAGCCCTGCAAAACCATCAGGCTCATCTTACATCTGCACTTTGCAGATGCCGTTTCAGCAGCAGCAGTGGTGTGGATCACAGCAGTAATAGTGGGTAGCAGAGGTCTGGGCAGGTGCCGGTGAAAGAGCTGCATGGCAGGAGGGACAATGTTAAACCTGCGTAATTTCTTTCAGATTGCACATTACTAAGATGCACAGGACTTTCTTTCTGGAGAAGAGAACCCGTGATTGCTCAGGCTTTTGGCAGAACAGGTTTCTGGAGTTGCTTGGACAGTGACAGTCTGATGCCTCTTTTACTACCAACAGTTTTGGAGTTAGAAATTTCATAGCAAAGCAAATGAGGTCTGCCTTATGTGGTGTTCAGAAGGTAGCCCACATAAAGTCCTAGCAGGCTTTACTCAGATGGCCTTGCTCCATCCTGAGGCTGTTGTGAGGTTCAGGGGATGTATAACCTTATCCTTTAGCTTTTTTAGGAGGAGCTGCTCCTGTTCTTCCCATCCCTTAAACAGCCAATATGAAAAGTCAGAAGACTGAAGTCTGCTGAGCAGCTGCTTCTGACTTGCTACTGGATGTGGATCCTAGAAATGTGATCGCTGTCTTCTGCAAATCTTGCCACACTCCAAGGACTGTAGGATAGGCATTTATTTTTACTGGTAGGGAGGGTGAAAAAGTAGTGACAGAAGACTGTAAATGTGCATGAGCTGACAGTAGTCTGGTGTATGTGTGTGGAGTGAAGCAACTGAAATGAGTTGTTTTCATCTGACAGTGAGCTACGCAAAGGCTTTAGCCTTTCTCTTTGTATGTTAGATCTGTGAGTCTGTGATGCTTCCTTGACTCATTATTAAATCTGCAGCATTAAGTGTTAAACTACTACAGATCCTAAGCAGTTACTTTTTTAGAATTCTAGAAAATTTACTGTACAATAAAATGTCTGTAAATCATTACCCAAATAACCAGGCATAGTGAAATTAATAAACTAGCCGTGGTGGATACAGATATATTTGCAAGGAATCTTCTGATCCAGGATTTTTATTTCATGGTTGGACTGCAGCATGCTCCCTATGGTGATAATTTCTGTAGTGTGATGATAAGCAAGAGGCAGTGGCCAAAGAGAAGTCCCCCTGACATTGCTATGGTGAATGTGCTTCAGCACAGTCTTCTTGTTAGTGCCCTCAAATATCTTAGCTTATATTAAGTGTGAATGATGTGTTGGAGGGATTAATTTTGTCAGGTGTGCTTATGACAAGAGTAGCTACTATCTCAGAAGGGATAGTTTACAAGGGCTGGAATGATTAGCCCAATTGTTTTGTTTCATAATTAATTTTGTTTATTCATGGATGAAGCTGTGATTTCTGCCTGGAACTAGAAAATTAATCTCTGATAGCCATTGTGAAAAACAAAATTACTCTTCTAGAACCACCATTGTTTTCCGTGAGGAGCGCAATCTTAAGTCTGTAGAATCCTGCCTGATGATATAGTGAATATATGTGTGTTTATAAATATATGAGACCTTAGAGTTCTTGGTTTTTCTTTTAAGTTAAACCTCAAAGTACAACACTTTATCACGCATTACTTTCAAGAAAAGAATAGGACAGACTTGAGTCTGCTGACTGAAATCTCTTTGTATGTGTTTGTTAATTAATAGGACAGGTATTTTTGTGTTATGGAACAGGACTTTTGATTTTGTACTAGTCAAGGCTGTTACTCTTGAATTTGGTAGAATTTGATTCTGGTGACGGGTAGCTGGGAAGAGCATATACATACACATATATACCTGTTCTTTATAGACTTTGCAATCTTTCTAGTAATGATCAGTAAATTCACTTTATTACTGTAACTGTTATTTATTGCATGGATGTGTGCAGTAAGTCACCTTGGGAATTACAGACATAGTAGCAGTGCCTCTGGCACATTGTTTACTAGAACAGCGGGAAGCAACTCTGATCAGTTTATTTGTTTCTAACACTATCTGTCTTCTATCTGGAACCTTTTAAATAGCTTAAGTTAAAATTAACTGGTGCTAAGAACAGTTCAAGCTTTAACTTCTCGGATTTACATTTTCCATGAGATTTTGTTATTTGGTGAGTCTTGCAGGTTTTGTAGAATCTAATTGTTTCTTTGAGTTTCTGCTTACTACAGAGGCAAAAAATATCCTAAGATGACAATCAGCCCTTGAGTTCAAGATAAAACTTGCATTTTGATACAGTTATATGTGAACTCTACAAAAAGCAATCTGTAGACAGTTGTGCGTTCAGCATCTTGAAAAACATGCATATGAAAGTAAGGTAAAATGTGTGGTACGATGTTACCTGTAAAGAATTAACAATGGACTTGCTAATGGTAACACCATTTGACAAAATAATTGCCTGCTGCATTTAACTTACGGAGGCTATGCTGTTTAAAAACCCCATTTATTCTGTTACACCATCCATGTTCAGAGATTCTAGATGCTATTATCTAAGAAGGAATAGGTAAAGGCTATTTTTCATTAATAATAAAATGATTCATTGAGACTAAAAAGATAATTAAAGGGTTTATAGCTAAATGACTAAAGATATAAAGTGAAAGATAATTTTAGCTTATTAAGATATTGTATTGAATATGGCAAGGATAAAATGCATAGAAAATAGTATGTGTAAAACAATAAAAATGAGACAGTGAACATAGGAGCGTCTTGGATGTATTTAAGTGCAAAATAAAGCTGCTTAATATTTATTCCAGATTATTAAAAATCCTTACCTAAAGGATAAGATACGTTTTTTTCATCCTATTAATTTCCACCTGTGGTGAAAACTCCCAACTGGCTTTGGTGGTTTGCTCCCTTTCCTCTGCCAAAAAACCTGGCAAAACATGGTGGTTGCGGATTCCCTTGAGAGCTGGTACTTGGGTCTTTGCTTGCTTGGAGACTGGATTCTGACTCGAGTCATCGCCAGCCCTGGTGTGCTCTTGCTGGCTGGGGGCTGGCAGCCGTTGGCCTGTGGAGCTTTGAGGTCGGTTTTCATAGGGATGTGCCATGAAGGTGCAGGAACAACTACCATGCACTTAGCTATTTTTGAACTCTGTTCTCTAAAATCCTCTGCTTCCCACGAAATTTCAGGTGACCAAATGCTTACCATCACCTTGTCATCGTCTTTTCCTTCCTTCTTCCTTTTCCATGGGACCTCTGTCTTCCTACCTGTTTACAGATACCATCCTTTGATTTTTTTTTTTTTTCTAGATTGAAAGAGTCAAACATTTTTAGTATGGTTGTTTCATTTACTCTTCTCAAAAGTAAGATACATTACTGCTCCTATTATGCAGTGATTTAGAATGCTGCTGCACAATACTGCTGTGCTCTGAACTCGAGGAAGCAGTACCAAAATGTACCAGAATGTTTTTCTGTACAGCAACAATCACAGAATCATAGACTGGCCTAGGCTGGAAGGGACCTTAGAGATCATTTAATCCAACCTCCCTGTCATGGGCAGGGATGCCTCTCAACTAGATCAGGCAACACATGGGGACCAAACAGGGATCGAACCCACGATCTTAGTGTTATCAGCACCACGCTCAACCGACTGAGCTAACTGGCCCCCCAGTTAGTGATAACAATTCATATTGTCCAGGCGCAGAATCCTTTTAACATATTTCAGAGCTCAAAAGATGGTGTGTATGTATTGTTGAGGATGTATCAACTGCTTCTGGGTTGTAGGCAAAAGTGGTTCCCAAATATCCGGGAGCTGCAGGACTGAGCGTTTCCATGTAATAGTTGCGTAAGATGGAAACCTGTCCCTGTGGCTCAGCTGAGTGATGGCTCCTGGCTGCTGCAGGTTTAAATAGCAGGAGAGAGACCCCAGGGCCGGTCCTGGTTTGGCCCAGCCCGATACGTCAAGTTGGTGGTTGTGTATGAGACGTGCGAGAGAGGGAGGTGCGCAACTGGGACGTCATGTGCTGGAGATGCTGCTGGGTGATGGTGTTGTGGAAGGCATGAAGGAAATACGTGAGGGTTCCTCAGCTTTCAGAAAGTTGTGACCCGTGACAGTTCACATGTGGTGCCAAGACTGACAGTGACTGTGTAGTGGCTTATGACTTGGCCAGTGCAAGATCCCCTGGCTTGTACTGTCCTTAACTTGGAAAAAAAGTAAAGATGCAGGAAAAACGGCTCCTTCCCCCTTTGTTTGGTGGAATTTGGTTTGACTGACTTCCCCCTCTGTGTTGCTACTTTCTGTAAGGGAAGAACTGTAGCAATATTTAGATTGATGATCAAATTCATGAAGATCAATGAGATTTTTATCCCTGACCTCAGTGTAGCCGGGTACCTGTGTTATCCCCTGCTCCAGGGACTCCGCTCAGAGCTCTCTGTGTGACAGGACACAAGCTCTTATTCTTCAAAAAGAGGAGATTGTTAGGCATCTCCTACTGTTAGTGAGGAACCTCAGCAATTCATCCTCTGCTGACAGGCTTAACAAACTGCTTACAGCCATCTGTCAGATCAGTTAAATTGCTTAATTCTTGTGTGTACAGTGCTTCTTGTCCAGAGCAATGGTCAGTAATAACACATGGGGATATAATTGTCAGCAGTACTTGATGCAAACACCTACCTAAAAGAGCATGTCTCTAAAAGGGAAACATCTCAGGATTAGTTAGATAGTAGCATTGACACAAGTGTGCAGGTGGTATGTTTCATTCCAGAGTAATTTTTTTGTTACAGAGTTATTTTTTTTTCTTCGTTTTCTTCTGCCTGCACAGACCACTTTCTGATTCTGAACAGATCAACCTTTTAAAGAAAGCAAGACTATATATTCAGCAACAGAAATACAATGAAGCGGTAAGTCTGGTTTTGCTGTATGCCTTCTAGAAACATTTTACAGAAACTTTTGTTATATGTAAATATTTAGATTTGTTTAACTTGAAATGAAACTGGAAAATAGAACTTTTTTTTTTCTTTCCTTATGATGATGCACAACTCACTTATTAGCACAAATGAAAATCCACTGTAAGTCTCCAAAATTTTACATGTTGATGTCAGCTCTAATGATTAATACTGACTTGCTGTGAGTTTTTTCTTCATACTTGTTAAACTGCTTGTTATATGTTAGTATACTATTGTATACTAACACGGAGTGAACGTTTTTATTTTCTGCCCTAGAGAAGGCTAAACTGAGAGAAAAACTGAGGAATGTAGTTAATGTCCATACTTTTTCAGCTGCTAGTTGTGTGGAAAAAAAAGTATGATGTCTTGCTCCATCATAGATCCTGCTGTGTTTACTCCTTTTACCTGAACCAGCTGTTCTTGTTTTCAGTTTGTCAGAGACTGGGAGCCATATGTGGAATCATTCTGTGCTTCCCAGTTCTGGTATTACTTTCCTAAGCATTTGCTACCACTCCCTGTGCAACAGGGTGCTCAATGGGTGCAGTTCAGCAGCACTCGTACTCTAACATTCACAGAAATCATTTATAGTGCTAAATGATATGAAGAAGTCTTAAATTTTAACAGGTTTTAGTTGGTCACTGACTTCTGTGTACATTAGAAAGCTGAATATGTAAGATTACGATTAACCTTCCTCGATGCATGGAAGACCAATTTCATTGCTTGTTCGGGTTCAGCTATCTTTTCCCTACTAGGTTTCTCAGGGTAACAAATTACTGTTTTATCCAAAGTACAGCTAAATCTATTATCATCATGCCATTTTTACCTCACTGTAAGTTGGAAATAGTTCTGTTTCAGTCAGTGAATTTATTTTGCTGTGGGATGAGATTTTTCTTTCTAGTTTCCTGGTACTACCGCTTGGCTGTGACGCATATTTGTGGGAGACGTTTTAGACATTTCAGGAGTAGAACCTGCAAGTTCGTTATACGTAAATTTTATCCCTCATTCAGTTGAGTGCCCCATGTGTTCAGGTTCATTCTTGCTCACTAACACGTCGGGCTTGTGCCTGTGCCCTGGTTACCCTCAGCTTCTGAAAGCGCAGTGCAGAAAGGTGGGTGCATGAGCAGCTGCTGGCGTAGAGCTGATTCTCTCAACTGTGCAACTCTGAGCATTGCAAATACGCGTTTAGAATTTCCCCAGGAACGACGTGATTTGGGGTGGCCAAGGGCAATGACAAAGAAGCCAGGTGATGCTTGGCTTTGTGTGCCAAAGCAGTGGGTACTGCAGCAGCTGATGCTGGCCAAAGCGCTCTACCTGGGTGTGGAGGGGACACATGTGCCAAGAGGGCCAGAGCTACACGAGCTTGAGCTCCACATGCTGTTGGCTGGATCAAATTGCGAACCGGAGCTTACCCTGTTCTAAACTGATGTTTATATGTTTTTCTCCCTCTAGGTATCTCTGTGCAAAACCCTGATTAACCTTGCTTTGGAAGGCTTGTCTTATTACCATACCTATGACAGATTATTCCTGGGTTTCAGTATTGCAGTGGGGTTTGTGGGCTGGACAACTTACGTGATTTTGGTGATTATCAAGACCCATACAAGTCTGACCAAGGCTGTCCAGGCTAATAATGAGGTAGGTCAGAAATATGCAATCTTTTTTATTTTTTTTTCCTGTTAGTTTTTAGTACTGTATGTATGCTCAGTCTCTCTGTGGAGGACAAATTGCACACCTTCCACCTCTCTTGACTACACGTGGAAACTGGCAAGCCATGGAGTTTTCTAGGTGCTGTAATCCTATGTGGTATTACTGTTTGGTCCATTTATTAGGATCAGTGTTCCTAAGATGTGTACATCTGAGTATGCAATACTGAACTTTCTCAGTTTCTTCCTTCCTACAGCTGTGCATTTTACTAGATGCTAATGCAAATGTAAGCAAACATAGTGATTTAAAACTATTAGAGGGTTTGTCTTTTAGCCAGTAGTCAATTTTCAGCATTAATTGTAGTAAAGTCAGGACTTTATTGTAATAATACTTGTTTGGAAGAACACAGACTTCAGACTTCCGTTTTGTTTTTTGTTCTTTAGGGCAAAAAAAAAAAAAAAGCATTTAAATTATTTTATTCCTGTCCTCTTTGGCAATGTGAAATCAGTTTCCAGAAGCTGTACAGTCCAATCACAGCTTTTTAAAAATGTATAAGCTGTTTTAGCATAAAGGTGAACTGTGGTTTCACAGATTGACTCGCTCTGCTCTTTTGTGATTTGCAAGGGTTCAGCAGGAGACATTAAAGATGAAGCAAGCTCATTTTGACAAGATTATTATGGTTTGATTTTTCACAAAGTACAAAATCCTAGGAAATTCATTTACTTTCAGTCATTCATCAGGAAAAAAGATACCTCAGAAAGAGAACAGGGAAAAAGCTATCGTTTCCCCAGAGAAGGACTAAAGCCTTGAGGGAGAGAAATAAATTCTTGAACTTTGGGAGATTTTTTTTGTTTCAGAATAAAAGGAATTGTTTCATTTGATAGTATAAATGAGAATGAGCACTCACTTAGCATCTTTACTGGTTTCAATATATTACTCTGAGAAAATTCCTGTCATGCTATCTTGAGATTTTTACTACTGGCTGAAATGAGATAGTGTTGGGCTTTAATGAAAATGATCAAACAAAATTGAAATGGAAAATATTCATAAGTGCTGTACTACATGATTTAGATTTTCTTTCATCAAATAACTGAGAAATAATCTGAGATACATGTTATGTTAGATATGAACAAAATAATTACAATAAATAGACTGAGTATAGGACACTTTAATAACTGCCTTAAGTAAAAGCTTCATGTTTTTATTTGACATCGCATTTTCATTTTGTATATTGATTTTACTTGTTGAAGACAAATTTTATGCTAGTGACACTAGTGGAAAAAGAAATATTAGGTTTCGTATTTCCTTGTTTATAGATTTATTTTTTTCCCTTCGTGTTAGTAAGAGACCTTTTTCTGTATAAACCTTTTTTAGTGCTCCTAAATACTTAGGAAATCACAGTGTGAGGCTAATGCTTTGTGTATGGAAGTTATTTGGTTTATAGCTAGTATTGGAGGTATTTAAAGAATTTTGCTGAGAAACTAATCCATCATTGACAAAATCTTCTGCAGAGCACAGTCTTAAAAAATCTGAACAGAGCCTCTGCATAATGAAACTGCGTATTCTGTATATATCATCTTTAGAAGTTTTTTGTGGCTTGTGCTGCATATGAAAAAAATAGTTTCTTTTAAAGTAGTCTGTTGTTTCATTTAGCAAGAACCCTAACCTTTTAATTGACCTTTAAATATCCACAGAAAATGCGAATCTAGTTTCCATTTTCAGTGTGTGAACAGCTCTGTTGGACTCTATGATATTTATATCTTTACATGGAATAAAAAGTTGATTGTATGTGTTTACTCATTCAATGATAAATTACATTGTGTACATATATCTGTACATATTCATTCTGTCTATATGTCAGCAAATGTAAAATTTAAAAGCAATTAAATTGCATTAGGTCAGCTTTCAGTATGATGTTTTTCCTTACTTTAATGACATATCTTAGCAGAAATGCTACTTTAAAAATCATTTCGTGCTTGCATTTGCTGTCAGTTTAGATTTAGATCAAGGCAGTTGTATAAGTTATGGGGTGGGGGAGAGCAGAAAAATGCTAACCCATCTATGTGAACTGCTAAATGAGTGTGTCGTGGGTTTTCTTCTCAGCGTATTTAACAATAGTCGTGCGTCTGTGTAACTCATTCAAAGAACCTGATTCATGTAGAAGAAAACATTGTCATTTCCTACACAGTACGCTAAAGATTGCTCAGTCACTGAAGCTGCCTTTGCTATGTCAAGTTGCAATACATAAAGGTAGAATGGTTTATTTTAAACTTGTACATAAGCTTCCCTTACTGGTAATTCTTCTGATACCTGCTTGTCCCTAAATACGGAAGAGTAGTTCAGTAACCAGGTAAGAGGCAGATGCACATTGTTTGTTCTTTGCACAAACGAGAGGTTGCTGCTACCTAATGGTTAAGGACTAGCCTACCTGTCTGAGATTACATATTTCAAAAATTTCCTTTCTTTCTTTGATATTCCTCCTTACAGCTCTCTCAGTCAAAGAGTGTGCTTCTTTGAGTACATAGTAGAGAGTATGTTCTAATCTCATTTCTCCAATGAAGGTTGATCATCACAAGCCTCCTTACATAATTCTCCTAGATGCTGAAGAGTTGGTTCATTTCTAGTAGGAGTTAATGATTTATATTTTAATTCCATTCGTTCTCTTACAAATGTCTTGAGCGGTAGAAGGAAATACGTGCTAATGGAATTTTCATTAAACATTTTGATTGTAACGCTATGAACTTGAACTCGGAATGTTTTCTCCAAGTCTGGTTTTAGAATCTAAATTGAAGTGAAATCTTTTGGCAAAGACCCTTAGCATCCCTCACCCGCAATGGAATTTGAGTATCCATTGAATGTAAATAACACTGTACGCATTGGGCTTCCAGACTGTACGTGTGTCCTTTGCCTGTGCAGATTTTACTGCAGGACCTTATGTAGAGGCATATTTAGAATTAGATTTTCATATCCTACTGTTGAGGTGTTTTTTCATCTGGCAGGAAGCAGCGTCCAGAATTGTGTAGATAGGCACAAGGCATCTTGAATGTCTATATTAACATAGCATTTGTTTTACTGTGTAACTAACAAATGGAAAGTCAAGTGTATTTTAAAACATTTTGTAATGTTTGTCCAACCATTTCTTTTTCAGGAATCCACTATTCTCTTCTACGGTTTTGCCTTTGTTGGAATGATAATAGCTTTTTTCCTGTTGATTCAAACATGTCCTTGGACATACTATGTGTACTGTCTCCTGCCAGTACCAGTCTGGTATGCGGTTGCAAGAGAGTAAGTAAAGAATACATTTTATGAAGAATATTTTATAAAACCAAGTCCATGCTTCCTTTTTGTTGACAATTTTTCCCCCCAGGTTTGGGAGAAGAAGTTTGGTATAATGATATTAATGTTCCTGAAAAGCTTCCTGAGACATTCCAGAGGACTCTGGTTTATATTCCACTTGACATGCAGAGTAGTTTCCAGACTGACGGATAGAGCTGCCATGTTTTCTATTAGCAAAAATTAATTAATGTCTTTCCAGGATGAAATGTTTTTAGTACTCTCATAACTGTAGCAAAGAGATGCTAAAGTCTTTGGCAAATACCTGTAGCAGATGACTTTTTTTTTTTTGTAAAATGGGACAGGTAGTTACTTCTCTTCAGTAACTGTGAAATCATCTGATCCTACAAAATGTCAAGTATGCTGAACTCCAGCTGTTTTTGCAGAACATGTGCCAGTCGTGATGAGGACTGTACTCTGATATTGAAACAAATTTGTCTTGTTTGGTCTCCTTTTCCTACAAATCCAAACCCACTTGTTACCTTTTGATTTCTATTACTGACCTAATCTACTAGGAATTCTGTAGAGACAAACTTGGTATTATTCATAGAAAATGAGATCAACTGCAGTTACATAATGAGCTGCTTCATAAAACACTGGAAAAGCTAACTGAGGATTTTTTTCTCTCTAAAGCTTCTGAACCTTTCATCAGTTTTGATGGACATTAAGCACAGCATAACAGAAAATGTTCATAAACTTGGAGTCAGTTTGGATAAAGAATAATGTGAAGCTTGTCCAAATGGTGATGGAGATGTGCCAGAAATGGAAGGGGAAAAAGCTGAAGGGTTTTATTGTAGATTTTGTATCAAATAAAACTGGGCAGAAGGAGCCTCAGGCCATCACCCAATCTATTTCTAAACAGCAGGCAGGATCAGCAATACCTGAAAATTTTTTTTTGCTCTGACCCCTCCTTGCCTTTCAAAGGTAAAAGTCTGTATTATTCCTGTTTTTTAAAAATAATTACTGTCTTGTTAAATCATTTTGAACAGAATTCCTGTTATTCAAGACCTTGCTGCAAATCTCTTGTCACTTCATGTCACTCAGTCTATAGGATTCCTCTTGGTTTCTATGCTGGGAATTGAAATACTAGTAAGTATTTTATCCGTGTGTCTCAACACGATATCTCATTGCTAGCATTCTACCTCTTTGAGGAAACTGAAAGTTTATTAATGTCTTTTTTTTTTTTTTTTCAATCTTCTGTTGGATTGTTGTTTGGGTTTTTTTTAGGTTTTCAGCTTTTTCTACCGCTCTGCACTTACTATTGGTCTCCTTGTCTTTGCTGGCTGGCCAGTGATCACACACCTCTGGGTTCAAGCAAAGGTACTGTATTACTGTGCTTAAAAAGAGCATTTTAAATGGCTAACAGCTGATTGCATCTGAGGATGTTGGGACTGGTCCCTTTGAAATGCTACTTTAGATTCTTGTTTAGTTATGCTCTTATTCTGATCTCTGTCGTAAGCAGCATGTAGCAAGGCAAAGAAGTTTAATATACCTGGGTAGATCTCTTGTACAAGATAAGTAAAATGACTGCTTAACAACTTCAGGGTGGCTGTGAGTTAGCTATTAGTTTTCTTGTTTTAATGATAACTGAAAAATGACTGACTTAAATTCTGTGTATTTCGTATGATTTCATTGAATTTTCACCAAAAAAAGTCACAAAAAGCCACAAAAAGCGTTGGCATGCATATTTAGAGAAATATGATAATTTATTGGGGGAAAAAAATTGACGATAGTTGAAAAATGCTTGTCAATTCATTATTGTTTGCAGTCAGCTGGCACACATCGTTCCTCAGGGGCAGCTTTTCGTACTGTTTTTCCCAGGAAGAAACTTTGCTTTTGTAAATATGACTGTGAAGTGGCACAACCTTCAGTATAAGTGACATTTCTTCCCTTAGTTTATTCAGGCGTCTCTTATTTCACAGGGTTCTGGGGTAACATTAACATTTTAATTAAAACAAAAAAAAATTGGAGTTCGGTTGCTAAGTCTTGCTCTGCAAGAGCTGTTCAAGATGAAGGCTTGTGTGTGTTTGTTTAGAATTTTTTTTATTGTATCTGAGTAATTAAGGAACTTGTCTTAAAGATACATATGCACAGAAGGTGTTTTGTAGAACTGAAAATTTCTTCTTGGGAACTTGAATCTGACTTGAGTTTGAAATCATTAAGTGATATAGCTCTTGATGTCTTTATTTCAAGTAAACCACTTGGGATAGCGTTTTCCTTCCTTCTAGCAAAGAATTTAGAGAACTACTTAAACGATTATGGTGGTTAAATCAAATGGCATTCAGATTCAAAAACTGGCAAGTGTTTCCGTATTGCTAGAGAACAGGTAATTAATTAGCTGCTGCCAACTTGTGCTTTCTGTCATAAGGTTCCTCATCAACTTTCTGGCAACTTCAGTGTGTGTGAAGGCCACACTTTGAGCAACTGCTTTTAAGTATAATCTTAGCTTTAATTCACATTGTCTTTGATAGGATTTTGACAGCTGTGTAAATGAGGTTCTCTTTGTATTAAGGTGAAGTGCTGTAATACCAATGACCCTTCGCACTTTTTTCAGTCAATTTTACTTTTGATAGACGCAGTGTGTATTTTATCTGTGGGAGTAGTTCGCTGAAGTACTTTTTTCCTGATTAAACTATTGTCTGTCCACGTGACCACCAAGTAAAATCTCATTTGGTTTTCTTTTAGACAACAGCATTGATCTGGACTCTTCTGTGTGTGCTCCTGGCAATATTTCCCTTAATGCCTGTTGTAGGAAGAGAAGCGAACATTCCTCTGGTGTAAGAATGTCATGTTATGCTTTAAACTTTTTTTTCCCTCTTTGATATTCAAAATTTAGGCTAATTTTTGATATGTGTTGGGAATTGTATTATTGAAAACTGACTGAGACAGAAATTGAGAATTTAAATAACATGATTTTAGAGACCTCAGTTATTCGTGAGTGTGAACGAGCATAGACTTGTAATTCTTTTTGCCACATTGATTTGCTCTTTTCATTATTCTGTAATTTCTTGTTGAGGGAAACATTTCTCACCATACAAAAATTTACAAATATTATGTGAAAACTAAGGTCATCATTAAAGAAGGAGCTTCACTGGGGTGCAAACATGGTAAATGGCACTGACATATGTGAATAAGAACATTTATTCAAAAGCAGTTTGAAAGCATCTTTCTCAATTCCCCCTCCATCTAATTTTGAATAATCTGACTTGGAATAGCCCTCTGCACCTAATGAGATATTGAGGGAAATAGAAAAAGTAGGATAAGCAGAGCTCTCTTCTTCCTCAGTGTCTCCTTTGTCTCTTCATTTTCCAATTCTGTTTTCTCTGTTCTGCATTTTCCTTTCTGGTGTCACTTGTTTGATTTTCTACAGTTGTTGATTTGCGTTATTCCCTAGCACATCTTTATTACTTGTCCCTCTCTTCCCGTGAGCTCCTCTTTGATCAAACAAGCATTCTCTCCTGTCTGGATGCAATCCAGGTGGTTGGCCTGAAGGCTTGAGGTATCATTGCAGTTAACTGCAGAGAGAGGCTCGAATTGACCTAGGCAGCAGCAGCTCCTTCTGCTTTCTGGCAGAAGATACCCTGTGGCTTATCAGAGACAGGGTGCCTGATCCTCAGTAAAATGTGAGATTTGAGTGGTAATATGTGAATGCAGATAGAATTATGAGCCCACATGTTGCCAAAATTGTTGACTTCTGCTTTGATATTTTCAGTGTGATCTAAATCTGTATATTGAATCCCCTTCTAGTCTTTATACTTAGGCATGTTAGAAGTATCCAGAACAGATTTGCGTTTGCAAATACCTGTATGTATTTCTGCTGGTCCAAACTGAAGGGTTTTTATTCTTTGGAAAATTAGAGCATGGCTTGGAAATGAAATGTTATTAAATTGCCTTCAGATCTTCCTTCTGACACTTTACATTCACCTTACCTAGCCTGTACATCTTCCTATTTATTCTCCTAATGAAACATGTACCTCGGAAACAGTTTCTGCATGTCTGAATCTTGTCAAGGGAGTTTTTAAGCCAAAAAATCTGGGTCATGTTGGGTCATGGACTGGACCTGATGATCTCAGAGGTCTTTTCCAGCCTCAATAATTCTGTGATTCTGTGAAGCAACAGTTTAAAAATATGTGTTTATGTGAAACTTCAGGATATTGAAGATAAGGAGATGCTGAGAGAGAAAATACAGGAGGGAAAAATTAGAGTGCCAGTGATAAACAGGTGCATTTATGACATCTTTTCTTGAGCAGTGGCAGTGTATGTCAGGTCAAGGCTTCTCCACTCGATTAATAAACCTTGTATGGTATGAACAGGGAGCTTCTTACTCAGTCATAAAAAGAAAGTGTACAGGAGGTGAAAGCAGGGTCAGATGACCCAGGAGGAATGCAGAGGTGCTGTCTGAATATGCAGGATAGGTTAGGAAAGCCAGAGCTGTCCTGGAGTGACATGTGGTCTGGGATGTCAAGCGCAACAAGACAGTGTACAGCGGGAAAAGGGAGACTAGGGAAAATGTGGCCCTGCTGCAGATTGGGATGGGAATGTGGTGATAAATGACACAGAAAAGTCTGAATCCTGCTTTTGCGTCTGTCTTTACTGGTAAGAACCTCACCCTTCAGCCTGCTGAGACCTGTGGGAAAGTCTGAAGCAAGGAAGACGTAACCTTGGTGGAAGAGGATCAATTTAAACAAATTGGACATGCACGAGTCTGTGGGCCCTGATGGGGTACACCCAAGGGAGCTGAGGGAGTTGGCCAATGTCACTGTGGTAATCTTTGAAGAGTTGTGGCAATGGCTGGTGAGAGAGGTTCCTGAGGACTGGAAGAGAGTAGATGACATCACTGCTCTCTTCAGGAAGGGCAAGATGGAGGATCCGAATGACTGCAGGCTGGTCAGCTTCACCTCAATCCCTGGAAGGATACTCAAGCAACTAATCCTGGAAGCAAACCATTTCTAAAGATATGAGGGACAAAAAGGTGATTGGGAGTAGTCAGCATGAATTTATGACGGGGAAATTATGCGTGACCAACCTGGAAGCCTTCTAAGATGAGAAGACCGGTTCAGTCAGCCAGGGGAGAGCAATGAATGTTGATTGTTTTGACTTCAGCAAAGATTTTGGTACTGTCTCCTGTAAATTCCTTCATCAGTGATTTTCATACTGTCTCCTGTGAATTACTTGTAGGTTCCACAAAAACATTAGAAGAAACTTTTTCCCTGTGCGGGTGCTGGAGCCCTGGCACAGACTGCCCAGGGAGGTTGTGGAGTCTCCTTCTCTGGAGACATTCAAAACCTGCCTGGACACGTTCCTGTGTGATCTACTGTAGGGGATCCTGCTCTGGCAGGGGGGGCTGGATTAGATGATCTCCAGAGGTCCCTTCCAACCCCTGACATTCTGTGATTCGGTGAAACTGATGATGTACAGGCTAGATCAGTGGACAACGAGGTGGCCTAGAAGCGGGTTTAACTGTCAAGTTCAAAGGACTGTAATCAGTGGCACAAAGTGCAGCTGGAGGCCACTCCCTAGTGGTGTACAGCAGAGATTGATACTGGGGCTCAGTGCCCTTTTAACATCAGATAGGTGCTGGGACAGAATGCACCCTCAATGAGTTTATAGCTGATAAAAAACTGGGAGAAGCAGTCGGTGCAGCAGCTGGATGTGCTGCCTTTCAAAAGGACCTCAACAAGCTGGAGAAATGAGCAGATCAGAAGCTCATGAAGTTCAAAAATGGAAAGTGCGAAGTCCTGTACCTGAGCAGAGATAATTGCCGTGCACCAGGACAGTCTGGGACCAACTGGTTTGACTACGAGCCACCAGTGTGCACCTTGCAGGAAAGGTCAGTGGTATCCTTGGCAACATCAGGATGACGATGGGGAAAGGGATTATTCCTCTCTAGTCAGCCCTAACGAGACCCGTCTGAAAGTGTTATATCCAGTGCTGGGTTCTCCGAGAAGAGAGGTGTGGACGTACTGGCCCAGGTTCAGATTTACTCAGATTAGCAGATGTACTCAACAATGCCAAGCAGTACTTTTTTCCTGTGTTTCTGTGGTGAGTGACAATCTTCCTGTTAGTCTTGCTGTTACATCTAAACAGAGCTATGTAGTTGATAGTGATGGTGGTGTGATTACCCTGTTACGTGACAGACCTGACAAGCCTTGACATGACTAACTTTAGATCACCAATCACTGTTACTGTTTTGTTCAAAATATTATTTGAAGGTAATCAAAAGTACCTAAAAATAATAGGTGACAGATCTGACATGTGGCCAAACTGGAGATTTTAAGGTTTTTTGCTACAGTTATGAAAAAAGCATAAGTGTATTTGTGGATGGCAAGCTTGTGTAACAAAAGCAAGAAATAAAAAAAAAACCCACCCACAAACATACAACCTGCCCTGCCCTGTCCCCTCTGCAAAAAAACCAACCAACCTCTAAAAAAACCCCAAAAAAACTACAAACCACACTTGATTCTCTACTAAATCGTGTTTTTCTAAAGTTGAGTATTGAAGTTTCCTTAATGCATTATGTCTTGATACTGTAATAAATTATTTCATCTTAGCTAAGAACAGTTCTGTGAAAATGTCCTGAACTTTTTGATGATGTTTCCTGGGATTTTATTGTTCTTTTGTTTGTTTTTACAGAATAGCAAGTGGTTTGCTGACTCTTTTGATCTCTTTCTTCCCATTGGCATCTCGTAAAAGTGAAGATAAGTACAGAAATAACCAAGATCGGAAAGTACATTTTTATCAGGTCAGTTGCTACTTTCCAATAATTCTCAATGTTAGAGGACTTTTATGTACAGATTTTTTCATACTTTCTAAGAACATGTTCCTTTCAAGGCCAAAATTTTCAGGAAAATGATTGTTCCTAAGGATTTTCCCCTTGACTATTTCAAGAGGACCACGTGCTCGTGATAACACACGTTTTTAAATATCATAACGCTGTGTTCCCAAAAGCTCGCCCTGTGCATATTTATGTGTATTGATACATAGATGTGCATACATGTTTTGATGCTCTACTTGGAGAGTTTGAGAGTTTGTCCTGCCTTCAGTCTGTGTGCGTAACTTCCAGGGACTTCTGGAGGAACTGAACGTGCACAGTGAGCTTAGGCTTGCTGGTTCAGGGGGATCTTTACTCTTTCTGGCTGTTGAATAACAGTGTGAGACCAATACTGAGCTAGTTTTCAGTTAGTTAAATCTTCTTTCGGATGAAAGATGAATTTTTTTTCTTTATGGCTTCATGAAGTAGTTAGATCTTTTCATAGCAGCTGATCATTAAGTTCTAGAGAGCCTGTAAGATTCTAATAATACCTTGTATGTCTGCTGTCCTCTCTTTTTAAAAAAACCCACCTTATTGCAAGATAATGGTTTTATTTCAAGACCAGCTTTATTGGTTATGACTTAGGTGCTGGTTTCTTATTGAGCTAAGTAATGTGTTGTGTAAGTAATTTAAGTATGGAGGAGGGGAAAGAATAATGAAT